CTAGAGTCCAGTGGCGGCGTGCTTTACACCACCGCATCCGACGCTTTGCATTGCACTTGGTGATGTATGGCTTGGATGCAGCTGCTCGACCATGGAAACCCATTCCATGAAGCTCTCTGCGCACTGTTCTTGAGCTAATCTGAAGGCCACATGAAGTTTGGAGGTCTGTAGTGATTGACTCTGCAGAAAGTTGGCGACCTCTTCGCACTATGCGCTTCAGCATCCGCTGACCCCGCTCCGTCAGTTTACGTGGCCTACCACTTCGTGGCTGAGTTGCTGTCGTTCCCAAACACTTCCATTTTCTTATAATACAGCTGACAGTTGACTGTGGAATATTTAGGAGCGAGGAAATTTCACGACTGGATTTGTTGCACAGGTGGCATCCTATCACAGTTCCACGCTGGAATTCACTGAGCTCCTGAGAGCGACCCATTCTTTCACAAATGTTTGTAAAAACAGTCTGCATGCCTAGGTGCTTGAATTTATACACCTGTGGCCATGGAAGTGATTGGAACACCTGATTCCAATAATTTGGATGGGTGAGCAAATACTTTTGGCAATATAGTGTATGTTGATGGTATAGAGCTTCCCTGCTGTGACTGGCTACAATATATTAATAATAACCATCATGACAATAATAATAACCATCATGACAATAATAATAATAATAATGATAATAATAATAATAATAATAATAATAATAATAATAATAATAATAATAATAATAATAATAGCTTTAACAAATATGCCACATTAGTTTAAATAATGGGCTATTAGGGCAACATGACTGGAAGTCTTGTCACGTGGATATGACTTATGGTAGCCTACAAAATAATAGCTATTTTAATACCTGCTGCACAAACCACTTAAAAATAAAATGTGAACAGCTTTTAAGATTTTTCAATATGATTAACCCTCCTTTCTTGGCATTGTGCTGCAATTACTAAATCAATATACAATTAAGACAATAAAGAGACCAAAATGTGTTAATTTATATTGCCTAACAAAACCTATACAACAGAAAACGTTTGTCTTAACACATAGATTTGTACAGAAGAGGATTAGGGCCACTGAAAAAAAAAAGTTAACTGATTTTTAAATTTTATTTCAGTTTAACATGGGAAAAAAGTCAGAATTCTGACTTTTTTATTGTCAGAATTCTGAGATTAAAGTCAGAATACTGAGCAAAAAGTCAGAATTCTCAGCAAAAAGTCAGAATTATGAGAAAAAAGTTAGAATTATGAGATTAAAGTCAGCATTCTGACTTTTTTCCCATACTAAACTGAAATAAAATTTAAAAATCAGTTAACTTATTTTTTTTTTTTCAGTGGCCCTAATCCTCTTCCGTAGATTTGCAATTGCAAACTCTACCAAAATTATTTGTAGCCTATGTGGTCGTCCTCACGTTATCTGTCATTTACTTGGGCTACAGTGTAAAACTTTCAGAATCAGGTTTATTGCCATTGTTAGTGAAGGAGTTCACAAACTAGGAATTTTTCATGGTACAATCGTGCTACATGAAACTTTTAAAATATGGAATAGGTAAATAAAATTATAAAAATATCTAAAAACTGTGGGTATACGTCATGCAATAAAATAGACTAATGTATACACTTAAGATAAAAAATATGGATACAAAATATAAAAAGTAAAATAGCATCTTACAAGGAGACAACTAGTTTATTAGGTGACCAGTCGGCAAAATGCGTGTTTGGTGCTGCTGAATGAGACATTTTAATGCACAACAAAATGATTCTGCTTGATCTGTATATTACCTGGCTAATGGGGCACGGGAGAAGCAGCTTGTCAGCGACCGTTCCTGCTATCTGAAGACGCTTACTGAACTGCTATGATGCTGCACATCTGGCATGCCCTGCGGGCGACCGAGCGAGTTCACGTGACAAAGGAAGAGAGATACAGTAGGCTGGTCGGCTGGTGGCTCATATTGGGGCATTGTTTCAGTCGTTTTTAATGGCTCAGGTTTTCAAAAGATCATTTCAAAACCGACCTCAGTAAAATCTTAATAATATTAATAATAATAATAATAAAAAAACAAGTTTCAAAAGGGCATTTTCTTTGATAGAGGGCAAACTTCCTAGTGCTTTAGCACCACCTAGTGTCTATGTGTGCACGCCCCTGACAAAGACCACCAGATGTAGAGGATTTACTATGCCTTAATCCTCCAAAATGACTGTCCAACATATAGAGTTTATCCAACATAGATTAGTCTATATCACTTTCCACTGGAAATGGGAAACTGATGTATTAGTTAGGCTTAATCAAAATGTATGGTCTAAAATCTGTCACAGAACCTTTGACATGACCATAAATCTTAATTTACAACTAATTAAATATAAAATCCTTCACAGTGTACTCTATACAAGCCAACGGATGTTTAAGATGGGTTCTGCACAGTCGGATATCTGCTTGTAATGCTCAAGTAATGCACCAGATGACATTTGCACTATGCTTATGCACTCCTGTACAGAGGTTTTTGTATCTGCTATGTGAGGATCTGTCAAAGTGTCTGAGATGTAATATTTCACCCTCTTCCTCAGTCTGTTCACTGGGTAAGTTGGATTATGTCACCTTAGAAAGTGATTCGCTTTATGTCATCGCAAAGAAAACTATCCTCATGAACTGCAACAATAAAAACAGTCTAAATATTAACCTAGGAGGAGTTTGGTCGGCCTCGAAAATGTTCTGGCAAACTGTCCGCCGCCTGAGGATGGGGAAGCAGTGCTTCACCAACACTATTTGCAGTTCAGGTGGGGAGCTGCTGGCCTTGACTAGGGATATTGTCGGGTGGTGGAAGGAGTACTTTTAGGATCTCCTCAATCCCATCATCACGCCTTTCGAGGAGGAGGCAGAGGCTTAGTGGCTGACCCTGAGATTCGCTTCTGGATGTTTTAGGACTGCCTTGGCTGACACGTCTCTGCAGTTTTGTGTTGTGGTCAGGGACAGTAACCCTGGATAGGCAGACCGGCGTAGTGGTTCCTGTCTTCAAAAAGGGGGACTGGAGGGTGGAATGTGCTCTAATGACAGAGAGATCACACTCCTCGTTCTCAGTAAGGTCTACTCAAGGGTGCTGGAGAGGAGGATCCTGCCGATATTCGAACCTCAGATCCAGGAGGAACAATGTGATTTTCATCCCGGTCGGAGCACACTGGACCAGCTCTATACCCTTCATCAGGTACTTGAGGGTTCGCGGGAGTTCGCCCAACCAGTCCACATGTGTTTTGTGGATCTGGAGAAGGCTAACGACCATGTCCCTCATGGTGCCCTGTGGGAGGGTGCTCCGGGAGCGTGGTGACTGTTCTGTTAAGGGAGCAGAAGCTTAGTTCGCAACGCCGGCAGGAAGTCAGACCAGTTCCCGGTGCCTGTTGGTCTCGACCAGGGCTGCCGTTTGTAATCGGTTCTGTTCATTACATTGCAGAATTTCTAGGCACCGGAAGGTGTCCGGTTTGGGAACCTCATGTTGTACTGTTGGTATCATCAAACCAGGATCTCCGACGTGCACTGGGGTGCTTTGTAGCCGAGTGTGAAGCAGCTGGGATGAGGGTCAGCGCCTCCAAATCCAAGGCCATGGTTCTCCACCTGAGAAAGGTGGGCTCCCCTCTTTGGGGAGAGTCCTTGTCTCAAATAGGGGAGTTCAAGCATCTTGGGGTCTTGTTCACGAGTGAGGGATGGATGGAGCGCTGGCAGTGATGCGGTCACTGTATCCTACTGTTGTGGTGAAGAAGGAGCTGAGTCGGGGGGCAAAGCTCTCGATTTACCCATCGATCTACGTTCCCACCCTCACCTATTGTCATGATATCTGGGTAATGTTCGAAAGGAAAAGATCGTGAATACAAGTGGCCAATTTTTTTTTTCTTTGCAGGGTGGCTGGGCGTATCCTTCGAGATTGGGTGAGGAGCTCAGGTAACCGGGAGGAGCTTGGAGTAGAGTTGTTGTCAAAAGGAGCCAGCTTAGGGCATCTGCTTAGGTTGCCTCCTGGTTGCCTCCCTCGGGAGGTGTTCCAGGCATGTCCCATTGGAAGGAGGCCTTGTGGAAGGCCCAGGACACCCTGGAGGGACTATGTCTATAAGATGTCCTGGTGTCACCTTGGGGTCCCCCCACCGTAGCTGGAGGAAGTGTGTGTGGATTGGGAAGTCTGGGCATCTCTGCTTAGACCGCTGCCTCCACAACCCAGCCCCAGATAAGCGGAAGAAAAAGGATGGATGGATCGATACATATTAACCAGTATAGAGACATTCTGTCAGATCATATTAACCCAGAGATCTACCTAACCTAGAGACCTCTACCTCATCACTAAATCGATATCTTTTGGCACCTATGATCGGCTACTTTTTCTACTAGGAGTATAAGGCCTGTGGCTTGGTCCAGTGGGGTAGCAGGGGTGATTTAAAATACATCCGGGCCTCTGCCATTGGGCGGGGTACCTGTTGAGGGTTGGAGTATTTGTTACGAACCAATGTGCCACTGCTGTGGTGCCTAACTTGCTCTGGGGTCCATTGGCGACACTGCTCGCACTGGGACCAATGAAACGGAGTCGAGCATCCTTTTTACATCATACTGCAGCTACATTTAAACTAATAATCAGATTTTGGGACGAGGGGGAACTAAGACATGGACAGAGACCTTGGGCTGGGATTAGAACCTAGAACCGCCTTCCTGCAAGGCAACAGCGCCACCCACTGCTGTATCGTGCAGCCCTTCAAGGATGAGTCATATGTCATTAGTGAAAATGTCAGCATCCACATTCTCCAGGAAGCAGCAAATTCCTCCATCCTTCTTTCCGTCTAATTAACCTTTATCTGTTTCATCCTGTTTCTTTAAAGCACGACAGGACTGTATGACTCACCATCTGGACCACAACACCCGGTAATTACACAAAGTAGCACCTTCTGCACCTCTTTAAGCTTAAACTAAAGGAATTTTACCTCGATTGGGGACAGGTACTACCGTCCCTTCCTGCTCTGTGTCTCGTCTCAGCTCACCTTGAAGACAAACAGCTCCTTCCTGAAGAAGGCCACAGTGTTGAAGTTGCCATCGCAGATGTTAGGCTTGCCGTTCCCAGGAAGAGCTGGTCTCTCTCCAGGTGGACGGCCTGGCCGGGAGTGTCGGTCATTATTGCACTCTGAGGTGGAGTGGGTCCGTCGGGAAGGAAGCGTTGGTAACGGCCGGGTGGGTTCCAGCATGGGGGTGGGGATCCCTGTGGGTACAGAAGCAAAGACTGACTAAATGATTTACTTACTTACTTTCATCATCATCATCATCATCATCATCATGATCATCATTCCTTTTTTTGTTTTGTTATTCTCTCTTTAATAAAAAAATTATATGTTTTTTTTTTACAATCAGTGACAGTTTTAGTTTTCTTTGTAAGTATTTTGTATTTTTTTCTGTTCTTTGTATTCTTTAATTGTGCCTCTCTTTAGTCTGCTTATTTCATTTTTTCTCTGCTGTCCTGTTAAGGCTGCGTGGGGTTGAGTTGTTCAGAAACATCTCTGGGTCTGTTATTTCAGATATAATGTAGAATGACTCTTTGATCTACTGAGAGAAGTAACAGACAATCGGATTCCTGACTCTGTCAGCTTCACTGGGAAATAAAGCTGTTAGTGCGGGTGTTTGGTGGCTTTTCCACCTTTCAGAGCAACCTTATGAACCTGCTCAGGTGTCTTCACAGACCGCTGAGGGCCATGTTGATCTAATGTTTCCTGTCAATATCTCCCTGAAATGAAATGTCAGCCATGCATCATGGCCTATGAGGTGATTCTCAGGTTTTATCCGAGGGAGGGGGGGTGCGAGGGTCTTCCAGCTTTGATGGTTTAAGTGAAGCAGAGGAACCGTGAACCAACTGTGAATCCTGGAGCTCAGTGAGCGTAGCGGATGATGTGGCTGGAAATGTGAAGCTTATCTCTGACCCTGCAGATGCTTTCTCTTTCTTCTCTTGTGTCTCTGCATCACAGATAATTGTTCCATCACATTTCAACTGAAGCCCGGGCTGATTATTCCTCACAGCAAACAGAAAGCCTATCAACGCTTTGTTTTCAATCAGAGCCGATTGAGATGGAGGCCATCTTTGTGTCTGTGCTACAAAGAGTCTCTGGTGAAAACTCGGAGGCAAAGCTGCACATTTTATTCCCTATAATTTTCCTCTTTCCATGCAAAAGCTGCTGGTTCTGATCCGTTTTCATCCTTCAAACAGAGCCAGGCTGCTGGACGTTGAATAATGTTCATTATTCAGCAGCTCTTTGGGACTCAGCATTAATAATTCATACAAACAGTTCGCTGTTTTTACTTTTGCAAGTTTTTGCTTTTAGATTTAGAGTGAAATGTTGTGTTCAGGCTATTCACTGACACCTCAAAGAGTTCACCACATCTATCAGATTCAACCTCTATTCTTCCAACCTTCCAGCATTATTCTGTCAGACAAAAAACATTTATTTTTGTTTTTTATTACTATTAAAGTCCTGACCGTAGATTTTCTGTATGCCCTGCAGGTCGTCCAGAGGCAGCTTGAAGTTGTGCGTGTCCATATACTGGTAGAACGGGGCCATGATGGCACTGGGATCGTTGGAGTGCTCCAACCCCAAAGCGTGACCCAACTCATGGACCGCCACCAGGAACAGATCATTACCTGGACAGAAATAGAAGCAATGACAAATAAATCATCAATTTGTCTTTTCAGCTGGAGCTCAACAGAAACAAACCAAACACTCAGATCCGCTGAGCAGAAGTTGGTCTGGGATCCTTTTGATTTTACAGTAACTTCTGATCTCATCGTCCAATTCTTCAAAGTAACATCAGACTCTCACACTTTTAGTCTTTAAATATATAATATGTGAGAGTATTAATAATTCAGAGCTGTAGAGAAATGTGCTCATGAAAGGCAAACATGTTGAATCTGAAGAACAAAAACATCTTTAGATCTGCAGTAGAAATTCTCTAACCAGAGCAGCAATTCACATGAGAAAAATTATCACAATTTCTGCTTTTGTTTGCTAAACTTCAAATAATACTTTTAACAACAGATTTAGAGATAATAATAATTATGATGATGATTATTATTATTATATAGACATGTAAGAATTAATATTCCACTCAGTGGTGCTTAGATCCTGTTGGTGCCAAGCAAGCCCCCATCATCATCTTTCCACTATGCTTTTTCATATCTGCAATAATTTACTTTACTGCATGATGAAACATTTTATCTGTACAGATAACTTTGATTATATTCATTTTTATTTAGCTTTGCAAATCAAAATCCCTCTGCAATTGTGATTATAGAGACAAAAAACAACTCCTCTCAATTGTGATTTACTGCTTTAACTAAAAAAAAAATCCCAATAATTTTTCCTGATTTCCTAAAATATCAAAGATGGCTGAAAGGGGAATTGTTGAATTAAGCTGACCCCCTGCCCACCCCCCTACACCTAAAGCTTCACCCAGATCAGTAAAATATGTTTTTGCATCTGACAATTTGGTGCTTTTTATCTGCTGAAGATATCTTGTAAATGTGGATTATTTCCAGCTACATCAACCACCTCTTTACTTCTGGTGTTTCTTTAAATGACCCGACACAAAAGGAGAGCTGAGGCCCTGAGGACCTATGAGGGATTAGACAATCTGGACTCTGAGCTGCTGTCAGATACTTAATAACTTCCAACAGTCTGATGGCGAAACTGAGATTAAACATTTCATGGCCGCTGTAATTGGTTTGACTCTGCCTGAACCTAATTACGGAACCTAATTATCTTTGCTTCTTTATAGCAGCCAATGTGTGTGAAGATTAGAGCCGCTGATGTAAAGGTACCGACCGTTTCCTTCTGCTCCACTTCTGACTTTCTCTCCCCTATTTTGTCTTGAAACATTTTCAGACATTTGGACAAATCATCACTGTCTGTTTTTAAAGGTGTGAATTCAATGCAGATATTTTAAAGACTGGCAAAATTAGATTTGTTGCCGCTTTTTGTTTTCACAACATTTACATGAACGTGAATGATTGGTGCCATTTGGGAGTCAAAGTTATTAGTAACTTAACATGTATTTGTGATTTAACCAAAGCTCCAACACAAAGGGACGATTAAAGTTATAGCATCTGGCTGTAACTATGGCAACAGAAACATCAAAAATGCATGATTAATGCTTACACTTTCAGAGTAAATTTAGTCCATTGCTTTATATCTAAACTTAAATAAATGAGTTATCTATACTAAAATTTCATAAAGCCTTCAAACTGAATTCAATAATATCCTGTTCCTTTATTAAAAAATAATACAAAAAATGTCTAGAAATATGTTTTGTGTTCAAATTGAAGCATTTATGGGGCCCCATGATGCTCTAGAGTGGAGGTCTTCAACAGGGGGTCCGTGACCCGTAGGGGGTCCTCAGAGCTACTGCATGGGGGTCGCAAAAGTTTTGGTTGATTAGACTTTTTTTTTATATTCCCCCCTGGAATTTTTTTTTTTCATTAATTGAAATGTCTTTAAATATGCATTAACATGAATTCAACACAATGTAATAAACAGATAAATGGAGGCAGAAGATGTCTTTCAGTCATCAATGCTCACAGGAGCTTTTTCAAGCTGGGCACCGTTTCATTCACAACACCTGTTCCATCAACAAGGAATCAGAATCAGACTTTAATAATCCCAGGGGGAAATTACTATCGTTACATGACACTATCTGAAATAGACTGACCATAGGACCAGTTTGATATTACACAATTTCATGCAATGTATATAAATAGGGGGTCCCTGCTCAATCTGGCCATCAGTTTTGGGGTTCTTGGCCTGGAAAACCTTGAAGACCCCTGCTCTAGAGTCCCTAATGAGCCCCTTAGTTTGCTTGTGCCTTGGGCCAGTTCTAATACAGTCAACAACTGGATCCCACTTTATCCTTTATAACATATTCTCAGATATTGGCAAATGAAAAAAAGAGATAAAAACTTAAAAAAAACACAAAAAAACAGAATTGAGTTAAAAACTGCTATTTATGTTATTTCATGAGGGCTAATCTATTTCAGTTTCTCTCCATTAACTATCAGTCTTAAATTACTTGCTGATTTGTTAAGATGTTAGTATTAACAGCAATATTATTTTTCATCTTTAAAAAACCTTCGAACTTCGTATTCTTAACACCTCTTCAGTTCTGAACCGTCTTGATCCGTATGAATGCATAACTTTTTTAATTCTTTCTTTCAGGCTACTTTAAAACCGACGCCAAAGTAGAACAGAGGGGATCAGATTTTAAATGAACCAAGACCAGACAACTGCTTTAGGTCAGTGTTTTTCAACAGAATTACTATACATACATCCTAATTATTTCATTTATCGCCCAATATGTGAGGCTGAATCCCAAAGTATCACTGCAGAGAACAAGAGTGTTAAGTCTGAACTTAACCACTGAAAGGTGTAAGAGCAACACAGGTAATCCCGAGCTGTCGTATAGTTATGCTGCAATAGACTTATGCTGATGGAGGGCATACAGAAAAAATGTCATCATTATGTCTGCATTCTATAACTCTGCAGGATTTGTCACTGCAACCCCTAACATTATCTTTTTTTTTCTCATCACAGCAGCTCCATCTGGCCTAGTTCTGTTAGGCTGGGATTCGATCCTGGAGAGAAATATCAGCTGAGCTGTTGCCATTGGATGGATGAATAGATGGGTGGATGGATGGGTGGGATGGTCCTGTTTTTCTTGGACACAGCTATGGGCTTAGCTTTTCCTGTGACTGTGCTCTTTTTCATCCATTTTGGCATTAAAACTGTCCCAGAGCTCATCTGCTTAACTGTTTCTTTCCTAGACAGAGCTACCTCTGGAGTTAGTTTACATTTGCTGTACCTTTTCTAGCATAGAAAACATTTCTAGATCAGGGTTGCTATCTTCTTTTCTATGTCTGATTCTGCCCTTTAAATCCCTAGTCGGCCTTTCCAAAAGGCCACTCACACAGAGTCTGGTTCTGCTAAAGGTTTCTACCTGTTAAAAGAGAGTTTTCCTCTCCACTTTACCTGCATGCATGATCAGAGTGAGCTAATTGCTGAAGAGTCAATAACAAAGTGTAAGCAAATGTCTGCTGTAGTTACATGCTCATCCAGGAGGAGTGATTCCTGCTGACTCAATAACAGGTGTTTTCCTTAGATAGAACATTTACCTTTTAAATGGCCACACTAAAGTCACCCAAAACACATGAAATGCATAAATAAAATCAGCTGCTGTGTTTTAACCATTTATAAGGATCTAGCCTTGTATATGAAATAATTCTAATGACAGATAGTAGTTTTATTGTTGCAGCATGAGGCTGCAAAATTGGAAGCACTGCATAGTTAAGGCAGTTAATCAATTTGACTGGAGGATCTGATTGTCTCTGTAAAGTGCCTTGACATGACATGTGGTAAATTGGAACTATGTAAATATATTGAAACCAAATTTAATTTAAAAGTGCCCCAAATGCCACGGCAGTCTTTATAGAGGATATTCGACTGCAAACCGATGCTGTCTTCAGAGGAGTCCATTTGCTGCTTTCCTAACAGGTATTCTTCTATGCAGAGCCATTCAAGCAACTTGGGTTGCCTGTATCAAAACATCTCTTAATAACTTTATTATTTTCTTGCAATAACATGTCAATTTTGTTCAAATGTGCATTTTTAAGAAGTTTTATTGTTGCATAATTTGTTCATCGATCCACTCTCTGTAAAATGTTTTTCTTTAATGACCAAATCAAACTAAACCTCTATTCAGGCTGTAACTACATGTCTTTTTCTGAGAGGCTGAATGAAACTAGATTATAATTAAAACATCTAAACCATCCTTTTCATTACTGAAAAATAAAAACAAAGATCTGGAAATATTCCTTTGTTCCAGCTCCAGGGCAGTTTGTTCTACAAAGATATAAAGCTTTATTTATTAGTTTTTTTTACTTGTTTCTCTTGACTGAAATATACTAAAGAATTAGACTTAAAGGTTTCTTCTGGCCTGGATTTTGCAGACATGTATCAGTCCATATTAGTTAGATTTTTCTGCAGCTTTTTCTCTGTAATGGAAATGTTATCAGATTTCCTTTAACTCTGACTGCATCTCTTCTTATCCCTCTCCTGCCTTCCTTCTTCCTCCTTGCAGGAAGATAAAAATCATGTCGGAGCATCAAATGTCCCCCTCGTGTGATCTGGGTATCTATCGGTGCAAGTCCACTTTCATCGTAACCTTACAGTATCAATAACAGTCCTCTTTCATGTTTTTCCCCTGCATTCATCTGCTCAGTGTAATAAACATGATGGATGATGGATCAGGCTCAATATTTCTAATCTCCAGGTTAAAATCATTAATCTCAGGAACATTTTCACACAAGCACATCATGTCAGCTTGCAACTCCTGCCTCAGCATCAGGAGGTAAGGCCCAGCTAATGAAGGAATTTTTCAATCCTACTGTATGATGAGAGTGGCTGAAACAGGAACCAGAAGATTTGTTTCTGTGGCCTCTGCTGGTCTGCAGCTCACATGAGCTCCTTTGCCTTTAGTTGCGTCCCGCAGATGTCGGCAGGTTAATAACAGAACGTCATCAGACTCTGGTGAGAACGTGAAGTTTTAATCTGAAGGCACAAATGTGTCCTGTTTGTCCTCATGTTGTCCTTCTGAAGCTAATACCTTGAATCCGGCTGACGCTTCACTATCTGATCGCTAATCTTTCAATTAAAACATCTGTGTGTGTGTTCAGGTGTGTATGTGAGAGGCAGCTTTGCAGGCTGAAGGTATTTTTGAAAAAAAAAAAAAAACGTATGTTTTTTGAATACTCATGCATTTAAACATTTAACCTATTTTAAAAAGTTCAAAAGAAGAAATTATGAAGAGGTAACATAAAAAAAACTCATTGCATAAGAAAACCCAAAGTTTTGCACACTAATGTAGCCAATCGAGGATTGTTTTCCAGAACGGTGAGCCAGACCTGGATTTGAGCTCTAATTAGAGAAATACATTCACTTTATATTTATCTCCTCCTTACATCAGGATTAACACAATACACATTAATTGAGTGAAGTACGGAAATTATGTAATTTGGCCACAATGACCTCAAGGACGCGACTTGTCAGATCGCTCACCCTGCTTCGCTGTCTCTGTAGAGAATTGTTAGTTATTCAAGCAGAGGCTACCTGCTGCAGCCATTCATCAAACTGAGACAGAAGAAGCTGAACTAAGCTGATAGCTCTGGTCAGCAGCAGCTTCCTGGGTTTTAACTCTCCTCACCGTCATGGTTGGCGTTTCCCAGCGTCCACGGCTCGTCAGAGTCAAAGTGGGTGTCGCCTCCGATGCCGGCACCCGGGAAGTAGGCGTGGGCTAGGAAGCCTCCCTCGCCATCAAACGGAGAGCTGTCACCATGGAAACCAGAGGCGAAGAAGATGATGATGTCAGCGTCTTTCCCGTCATTCTCTACATCTGAGTTTGGGACCTCCTGAGTAGATCAGAGGGAGGGAAACTTACACTGTTACAGTAGCAGCGGTTTGGTCCTGAGGGAGAATTCCCTGAACGGTCTTCTTCTACATAATTCATTCTCTAAAAAAGATCATCACGTGACCAAATTTTATTAAGATCCGATTAGGCTGATCAGGAGAAGATAAGCACATCTGACCTGGAAAGAGAGCGGAGTCACAGCCTGCCACACGTTGAAGGCTTGTCGGATCGCTCTGTGGGTTTCCTTCTCTCCCACCTTTGGCGTGTAGTTTGAAATTCTGAGGGGAAGAGAAAATGATCATTTTTACACGGGGGTTGGCAGCCTAGTGGTTAGGGCATTTCATTTGGATCCCACAGGTTCTCAGTTGAAGCCCCACTCCCACAGACAGCCACTTTGGGTCCCTGAGCAAGACCTTAACCCCACACTGCTCCCCGGGGGCCGCACTATGGCAACCCACTGCTCCCCAAGGGGATGGGTTACATGCAGAGAGTGAATTTTGTTGCTCTGTATTTTTGACAATGTCATTACAATAAAGCTGAAATCTATTCTGTTCTATTCTATAACAGGGATCAGTTTATCCAGCTCATTGACCAATCACAGAGACTGCCAATCCTGTCAGACAGGAAGCAATCGAAGCAGCTGTTAGGATTATTCAATGATGATTATAAAATTAATGTGTGCTTATAAAACATTTGTGCAAGGGGATGCTCCACTCCTGTCTCATGATCCAGTCAGGAGACCATCCTGCCTTGTCATTCTGATGGAGCATTCTGTCTTCATGAACTGATCAATTGTTCTGTCAGAACAATACTCTGTTTGTAACCATGCGTCATGTTCTGTTAATAAACGCTCTGCAGAGGAGGTCCAGTGGGAGACAGTATGTTTGAGTCTGGGGTTCAACTGTCTCTCCTTCCTGCAGGAATTGTATTGATAAGTCTGTGTTTCAGTTCTTCTTAAGAAAAAACCTATTTATGAACCCGACAGCAGCATTATCCAAAGGCACCATGTTTGCTTCTAACAGGAAAATAAAAAAACAAGTCTAAAAAAGTTTAAGAAGCAGTTATCTAGGAATTGAAATGTGGTAACCTTAAAAGACAAAGGCTGACAAATATATACAAAAAATGACATTAAAATAGCACAAAGAGAAAACATACTTTTCAAACAAAACTTATTGTAAATCATACACCTGTATAAAACAGAAGACTGAAATAAAATAAAATAAAATAGAGAAGGATCTTAGAGAACATCGAGAGTAAAAAAAAAAAGTGAATGAAAAAATGTGCTAGAACCGAACAGAACATAAAGGTAAAATATCAAAATAACATCAGAAACAGTTAAGAGTTATGACATTAATACAATCAATCTTTGGCTGCAGAAATATGCGGAAAGTAAAAGTTATCTTCCAGATCTTTGTTCTGGAGTTTCTTTATGTTCTTTGGTTGCTGAAGTTTTCCATCTTAAGCAGCAGCTCAGTTAATTCGTAGCCTGATGCTCCCTTAGCTGCTGATAAATGAGGCAGAAAGGTCGTTACAGAGTAATTGCAGAGAGGATACGTGCCGTCCATATCTATTCAGGCCGTTTTATCGCTTGTCTCACCTGCAGATCTGCAGAAACCCTTTCATGAGGCGTTCATTGACGGCTCCTGTTTTGCAGCCGTTTGTGTCTCTCTTTGAATGAGTCAGAGTAACAAAGCAAAGAGAAAAGGAAGCTTGGAAAACTGATGAAGTTGGATACAAATGGAGGGAGGCAGGAAAAAGAAGATGAATGCTTTAGGAAAACTCAACAAGTTAATTTCTCGTCATTTTTCTCTCCAGCCGTTGCTCTTGAACACAAAAATCAACTATAGAAACGTGGAGCTTCATATCAAAGACTGAGCAGGATGAGTGAACCTGGCACAGAAACACCTGGTGATGTTTGGACCCAGAGAGCATTTTATGTTGTGGACTGAGAGGAAGAAAACTGGACTGAGATGATGGGAACGGCCCACAGAGGAGCCTTTACCAGCTGTTTTAACTGCTTCTGATGCAACAACAATCAAATCTGCTGTTGCTTTCTGATTAAAAGCTCAAAATATGCAGTCAAAAAGGCTAATTCCACATTGGAATCAGCACAATGCTTTATGTTCAGATTAGCTAGGCTGGTTCTGGTAAAACCAAGGATGCTTTCAAAAAAGAACCAAAAGATGTGTCGTTCGCTGGAGATTCAAGGTCCAAAGATGGACAGTTCATCGCTCAGCGTTCAAAAAGGCACAGAGGCTCCTTACGTTGTAAGGAGATGATTAAAAACACAGTTCATCAGTGCAGGTGGAGAGGCTATAGAGAGAGCTGAAGATCTAAGAGCAACACTGTGTTAGAGTGTGAAGCAGCACCCACAGGACAGCTCAACTATTGCTGGACCCCTAGAAACACTTCACACCGGCTCTACCACTCCGATCTCTTGGATTCCCAAAGAGATTCTGAAAGCTAGTTGACCAGAGGACTCAGCTGAAGGAGTTCAAATATCTGAAGAGGATGTTTCTACAGTGACAACACTCAGAAGAACCCAAAACATCAATCCTTACACTGTCAAACAGACTGGAACACAGACAAGGATTTAAGGCTCAAACAAACAGCTGCAGAGAGAAAACTCCTTCTGGTGGAACAAAATATCCATCTTTATGAGGCGTCAGTCCCTGTAAGAGAGAGCGTCTGACAGCATCCACAGAACCTTTAGGTCTATTTCCTACAGAACTGTTCAAAGATGAAAAATACAGGGAGTGAAAGAGAATATGGGCGTGTCCCTCTCTGCCCTCTGATTGGTCAGAAACCTGTAAGCCACGTCTGGAATCAGGCTTAAAAAACAATCATTGGATCAGAAATATTGAATAAGGAATATTCTGGGGTTAATTCAGAAAAAAACTCTAAGCTTCGATTATGGAAAAACAACAAAAGGGATCAAAAAGATAAGTGAGTCCAGTAAAGTCCAACTTTGTGGGAATTCTTTGAATCTTAATGAAGGTTCGATCAAATGGTGGCTGAGATATGGAGGTAGGTTCATTACTGACTCTATGGAATCTTATTAAGCGTAAGAATATTTTTTATTTTATTTTTTAAACTTTAAAACTAAATTCACAATATTTCTTGTCTGGTTATAAAGTCAGGTTTAGTAGTTATTTAGCTCCTAATTTCTACTCTGTTTCTCTATGCCTTTTCCCGGCAGAATAACTATGACCTGGATGACTGAGAATCTTCACCAACATTCAGCACCTCTTTTCATTTTTCTCCTCATTCACTGCAGCCTGAGTTTCCAGCTGCTGAGTGTCTTTTACCTAACATAAAAAGGGATTCGTCATATTTTTTTCCTCACACACTGAGTGCAGGAACATTCTTGGAAGGACTTTCACAGATACAGCTCCTCCATGAAGATCAACAACCAGTGAAATACTCCCACAGGAGCTGGTGGATAAAGCAGAAACTGGAACAAAACTCAGCAGGTGGAAATAAATTCTTCATGCATCCTAAACGATCTGATCCAGCCGGCCTCCTCCACACTGGTAGCTAATGCAGATTAGCCTCGTATAACCCATCGCTTCTAAGAGACGGGCCTTTGGCGCCTGAGAGGACGAGCAATCAGGTTTAAAACGATCATAGCCTGCAGGACTGAGAGCAGCACCGTTTGGGCCGGCAGGCAGTGAAACATGAGGAGGAGACTCACATTTGATGAGAAGAAACCAGATCGGAGTGTGAGCTCACTCTGTGGGTTTATGTAATGCTGCAGAGTGGGAAGCATCGCAGTCGGGATGCCTTCAGTGTCCCGTGGGAAGGCTGTAATTTACAATAACCCAATGAAGCTCTGAGTGGGCTGGTGTGGACGGGGGGGAGAGGGGAGGATGGATGGATGGATGGATGGATGGATGGATGGATGGATGGATGGATGGATGGATGGATTGATGGATGGATGGATGGATGGATGGATGGATGGATGGATGGATGGATGGATGGATGGATGGATGGATGGATGGATGGATGGATGATGGATGGATTTATGGATGATGATCATTGATGGATGGCTGGATGGATGGATGATGGATGGATTTATGGATGGATGGATGGATGGATGGATGGATGGATGGATGGTGGATGGATTTATGGATGACAGTGGATGGATGGATGATGGATAGATGGATGATGGATGGATTTATGGATGACAGTGGATGGATGGATGATGGATAGATGGATGATGGATGGATTCATGGATGGCGGATGGATGGATGGATGATGGATAGATGGATGATGGATGGATTTATGGATGATGGATAGATGGATGGATGGATGGCTGGATGGATGGATGGATGGATGATGGATGGATTTATGGATGATGGATAGATGGATGGATGGATGGATGGATGGATGATGGATGGATTTATGGATGGATGGATGGATGGATGGATGATGGATGGATTTATGGATGGATGGATGGATGGATGGATGGATGATGGATGGATGGATGGATGGATGGATGATGGATGGATTCATGGATGACGGATGGATGGATGATGGATAGATGTATGATGGATGGATTTATGGATGATGGATAGATGGATGGATGGATGATGGATGGATGGATGGATGGATGGATGATGGATGGATTCATGGATGACGGATGGATGGATGATGGATAGATGTATGATGGATGGATTTATGGATGATGGATGATGGATGGATTTATGGATGGATGGATGGATGGATGGATGATGGATGGATTCATGGATGACGGATGGATGGATGGCTGGATGGATGGATGGATTTATGGATGACAGTGGATGGATGGATGATGGATAGATGGATGATGGATGGATTTATGGATGATGGAAAGATGGATGGATGGATGGCTGGATGTATGATGGATGGATTTATGGATGATGGATAGATGGATGGATTTATGGATGGATGGATGGATAGATGGATGGATTTATGGATGGATGGATGGATGGATGGATGGATGGCTGGATGGATGGATGGCTGGATGGCTGGAAGGATGGATGGATGGATGGCTGGATGGATGATGGATGGATGATGGATGGATTTATGGATGGATGGATGGATAGATGGATGGATTTATGGATGGATGGATAGATGGATGGATGGCTGGAAGGATGGATGGATGGATGATGGATGGATGGATGGATGGATGATGGATGGATTTATGGATGGATGGATGGATAGATGGATGGATTTATGGATGGATGGATGGATGGATGGATGGCTGGATGGATGGATGGATGGCTGGATGGATGGA